TAGTCGTTGGGTGGAGCCTCAAAGTGGGTGGGGGAATCCTTGATGGAGGGGAGGTCCGGGATGTCGTGGGGGAAGTGTTGGGACAAGACGGCTCCAATAGCAAAGTCTGATGCGTCAGTGGCAACATAGAAGTGTCAAGAGGGGTCAACAATCTGAGGCGTCAGTCGAAGGCGGCTTAACGACATTCATTCCATGCAAAAGGCTCGTTCTTGCGAGTGAGCTCATGGAGGGGGTAGGAGATTTCGAAGAAGTCGCGGATGAAGGGGCGGTAGTAGTTGGCAAGACCGAGGAAGGAACGAAGCTGCAACAAGGTCGTAGGTGGGGGAAACTTGACAAGGGTGGTGACCTTCGAGGGGTCCATCAGCGGATACAATGTGGTTGAGGTATTCTACGCTTGAGGCAGCAAAAGTGCATTTGTTGAGCTTCGCGTAGAACTTTCGATCTTTGAGGATAGAGAGGACCTGGCGCATGTACTGAAGGTGAGACTCGAAGGTGGGACTGAAGACTAGGATATCATCAAGATAGACGATGACACAGACTTCGAGAAGGTCACGAAAGATGTGATTCATAGTAGACTGGAAGGTCGTTGGGGCATTTGTGAGGCCGAAAGGCATCACAAGGAACTCATTATGCCCAAAGCGAGAGCGGAAGGCGGTCTTATGAGTATCCTCTTCGCGAAAGCGGATCTGGTGGAAGCCACTGCGGAGGTCGATCTTTGTGAAGTACTTGGCTCCACGGAGGCCATCAAGAAGCTTGGAGATGCGAGGCAAGGGGTACTTGTCCTTGATCATGATCTGGTTGAGGGCGCGGTAGTCTTTGCACATGCGGAATTCGGAGGCTCCGCCTTTCTTGACGAAGAGGCAACTTGTACCGAAGGGGGAGGAGTTGGGCTTAATGAATCCTTTTTCAAGGAGTTCATTGAGTTGTCGCTTCATTTCTTTGGCCTCAGGAATGGAGAGCTGGGAAGGTGGTCGACATGGAGGATAGTGACCGGGTTCTAGATCAATGGTATGAGAGACACCACGGTCCGGAGGTAGTCCAACGGGCAAGTACTCGGGAAAGACATCTTCACTTAGGGCGGACATGTCCGGATTAACCGGAAAATACCGGAAAACTGGATGCTCGATCAAACCGGGAATCCTGGTGTCCGGTTTGGCTGTCCGCCGCTGCCATGAGAATTACTCTACCTCTTCGGCTGACTCACTTGAGCAGTCGTCCTCAGTTAGCGTTCGCGCGTTAGTTGATGACAACTGTCTTCTGGTCGTCACCTTCAGTCTACGCTCACGCGTCATCTGGTGACGACCACCTGCCCTTTTGTTTAAGTGGTTTGCCTTGTGGTTCTTGGGGATGATGGTACGAAGGTGGAGGGCTACACAAGGGATGTGGCGGACATGATGTTAATCTTTCCAATCAGGCACCCCGCCCATGCCGGTCGTTTGCCGATTGTCATTGTGTTGGCTGCATATTGCCCTGGAAGGAAAAGGAAGAAGCCTGCTGCGGGGGAACTTCATGGAGCTGGAAAAAAAGCGAGACAGGCCATGTGATAAGAGGCCTGAGGATGATCGTGGGAAAGGCAAGCTGGTGGCCACATCTCTGCTGAAGAGACAGACAGTTGAAAAAAAGAAACATTGAAAGGGTACCAAAAGCGTGTGATTGTGGATGATGATCCCGCCGCGTAGCAGTGACTCCGATTCTGAGTGATGATGTGCATGTCGCCCTGCTACGCACATTGGTTCATCATTGCATATTTGGCATGTGTGCAATTATACTGAGTCTGTGTGTCTGCCGAGTCTTTTTAAACTTTTTTAGAATTGGGTTGTTGATTTGTCAGGTTAGAGTGTCATTACCTAGGCAGGTGTGGTGTGTTTTCCCAGAATCCACACAAAAAAAACAGCCGGTAGATTTGCAATGAACCCAGATCGTGAAGACAGTTGTCAACAATGCAAGCCCAGATGAATGTCAACCCGCTGATGATTATCAACAATCAGAAACATGTCCAGGTAGAATGAGATGGGATAATCATACACAGACGAAGGAGAGAGGAGGGAGATTAGACAAAGGAGAGGAATAAACAAGGCCCACTCCTGCTTCGGGCTCCCTCCTCGATCACCACCTCAAATAATCAATAGTCTGAACGCACATCTGAAGTTCTACTACAATGTGCCACGTGGCACGTCAATAAGTCCTCATCAGCGATCTGGAGCAATGTCGACCTCAAGATGACAAGGTAAGTGTCCACGATTATCCCACAGTCATGATCTCCTCCTGAGTGACGATGAATCAGAACAGCAGTACCGGTCACATAGTCCGGCCATGTCAGCAAATAGAACACATGGCAGCAGCCACGTCAGCAGCAATGCGTGGCAGCTGCCACATCAGCATGCCTTGAAGACAATAGCCAGCCAGCCACCATGCCGAGCTAGCCGTGCGTCGCCGTAATCTCCCAAGTGTCAGCACAAAGCCAGCGCCCACCAGCGTCGCCGCGTCCAGCCAGCGTCGCGTCGTCAACGCGTGAAGTCAGCATTGACGCAAGATTGAATCAATGTCAAAGCCAGGAAAGTCAGCGCTTATGTAGCATTGACTCGGGGTCTGGGCCCCGGATGCTTCCACCCTCAGCCATCCAGATCTCGATGCAAACTAAGGCCCAAATTGGTCTGAAACCGAATTCCCTCCGGCCTGGATGCTTGTCTGGGTACCTGCGCACAACAAGTGAGTGTATCCAACCAAGGGCCTGGGTGCAGTACCTTTGACTCTACAGTTGACTTTGACCTTTGAATTTCCTGTGTGCAGCGTTAGGTCACACAGCCAAACGTGACAGACTCAGGCCTGGGCGTGTCTTGGTCACACAGCCCAGCGCAGACCAACTCAGGTCTGTGTTGCCTGGGGCTGAGTTCTGGGTCCCAGGCTACTTCTGAACAGGGTTACTGCAGATTGCTTTGGTCTGCATTTATTTTTCTGTGCTGTCTTTTGCGGAACCTATAATCAAGTGTGTTTCATGACTTTTACGAATTGTGTCGGAGTCTGTTTTTTTTGGTGTGTGTCACCGTTGGCTGAATAATTTCGTCAAGTGTATGCTGTTTGTGGGATCTTCTTTTCTTTTGGGCTATCTTTTGCTGAAGGGCTGGTTGATCTGTTGTACAGCAGCTAGACTTACCAGTGTATGCTGTACAACAGTATCTCGCAGCCCTTACCCAAAAGCCCCAAACAAAACACCGCACTCACGGCCCCAACCCCAGAACCGCAATCTAGAATGTCAAAAAAGAAAGTGGATTCTGCATGTTCTCGACAAGCGCAATACAGCCGCACCAAAATGGACAAATAAAATAAAATTCTCGGGCAGTTTTTGGCCCGCTCAGGCAGGCTGGGTCCTGGGAGGACCCCCCCCTGCCCGCCTGGCCAGGTCTACCCGGGCAGGGCAGAGTTTGTAGTCTAGGAATAGAACAGATATGAGGTTCGAATCTTTTCTTACAATCCTTAGAAGTCCTCTGCTCTTCTCACTTCCATACACCCACACTTCAGCTGCCTCTATTTTCTGCTTTTGTTTGGTGGAACGAAGGCAAAAGGACTGGCCTCATACCTCTCTCTTGTCAGTTCCAAACAGCGGAGAACTGGGAGTTATTATCCCATCTTAAACCACCACTCCTCCACGTGCCTTCCCAGGACCGTGCTGGTTTATTATGAGGAACCATCCTGTGATTGTTTCGGAGCCGAGAATTGGGCAAAACAAGGTTTGGCGGTTGAGGTTTGGGTCCACTGGTGGTTTGAGGTAAGCAAGGAGTTGGATTAAGAAAGGGCGGACTACGGGCTTCAATTTTTTTGACTCTCGGTTATCACAGTCTCCCTGCTTCTCTGTGTCGTTCTTTACCAGCCCGCCCACCGTTGGCTGGGATGCAAAGTCCATAATGTGACGTGTCAACAGACTTGGTCGACCCAAAATAGGCCACATAAAAATACATCCACCTCCTCTTCCCAGCCACGATATCCTTTGTCTCACATCTCTCTCTTCCTCTCTGCTGCCACATGTCTCTCTGCCTTTGCCTTTGCGGCTAAGAACAAGATGTTATGCATCATCAATAGTTTTCGCACGCGTCTTTGACTAATTGTTAGCACTGCTGTCCCTCGGGACATCTGTTAGAATTGGAACCACTATACAGAGGAGATTAGCATGGCCCCTCTGCAAGATTAGGGGGCAAAAAACAGGAAAGAAAAAAAAATTATGCTAGCTGTGCTAGTCATGTCTCAACCTTCAAAGCAGCACCAGCAAGTTAAAAAGTTAAAAGTTCTCAAAACACTTGGCAATCAGTCACAGGCATGGGCGTGCAGTGGCCTTCATACCTCTCCTCTCCTCCATGGACACACTTTAGTGATCATTTGTCATCGTCGAAAGGTGCTGGTTGCTGAAGAAGGATGATCCCTAGGTATTGTTTCAGATCTTTCTTGCAAGGGAACAAATCCTAACCATAGAACTTGAAGTATGGAAGCATACATTCTTCAAACCTCTTCTCCAACATTGATTTGATTTACATTGCATTTGCTTCCTGCGACATAACAGTTGATTGAGCAGCTCCGGGTGTCAGCCCTTTCCCACCCTCTTTGTCATCGACTGTGGGTTAATCATTGCATAAATGAAACAGGGTATAAAAGGTTAGCAACCCAGGAGAGCAAAGCTAGCTTTTCCAACCGCATTTGAGAGAAAGCTTAGGGCAGAAGAATTATGTGGATCACAAACCTATCTATGGATACCATACTGTCTGAACGATACTTGATTGCACAACGATTTGAACCCAGGATCTGCACCAAGCGTTTTTGCCGCTGCCGAGATTCAGACCTAGGACTGTATTATATGTAACGGACGCTGGACCTGGTTTTCAGCCTAGGTAATGAAGACTGTTAATAATATATATATTGTATTATTGACATTTGTATTGTCACATATCTATGGACTAAAAGAGCGCACTTTGCAAAACAAACGATAAAAATGCACAAGGCAAACATGAAGAGCAAACTGAAACCATTCATTTTTATTTTTTTATCATTCTTCTTTTAACTCCCCCTTTATGGTGCCTCTGACGTACAATGTTGCCAAACAGAACTTCCCAGGAAAACCATAGTCAAAGGAGAAGCGGTTAACATGGCCCTAAATTTTCAGGGTTTTTTCACAGTCATAATGGTCATTATAACAAACGTCCCACACCTTTTAACCCAGAATTGTCACCAGTCCATAGAGTGCACACCACACAAACCAACAGCCAAAAAAAACTACAAAAATGGATCAAAGGGGCCTTAAACCCCAAGGCAAAAGTGTGTTTTCATGCAAAATTCACTCTTTTGAGTCTTTTCGGTTTTCAGGGTTTTCAGGATTTTCAGGGCTTGCCAAAACAGTCATCTCCAAAACCCCAACAAACACCAAACGTGGCACACGCAGACCTTGACCAAAAACAACACAGGGCAAAAAAAAAAAACACCTGAAAAAAATTATCCCCAAAGGCACTTTTCAGTGCTGGGGGGGGTAACCTGGGCTGAAAAATGGGGGTCCCTGTTAATTTGTGTTCGAACAAAGAGATCTAGATTTCTTAACACGACAGATCCCTCAGGCCTACAGAAAGACAAATCAACAAAGCCGCAAGTGGGTAGCAGTTCTTTCATCCTATGTCATTTGGAGTCTTTTGGACCAGCCAATGAGAACATAAAATTTTCGTCATCCAAAAGCTCACAAGAGACCAATCATGAAGAAGTTAAGGTGAAGGCAGAATGACAAAACTGAGAGCACACACTGAACACTGAAGTCTCTTGACTATGAAAGCTCTCCTGCAAACGCTCTCTCTCTCTCTCTCTCTCTCTCTCTCTCTCTCTCTCTCTCTCTCTCTCTCTCTCTCTCTCTCTCTCTCTCTCTCTCTCTCTCGGCCCCCCTTTATCTCTCTGTCTCTTTCTCCCTCTCCCTCTCTTTCTCACACACAAACACAATCATAAAACAATTATTGTACTCCTTTTCTTGCCTTCTAAGGGCTTTCTCTATTTGGTTGTCTGATTGCTATGTGGCTTTGGATGTTCCCCATGTTTTATGTATAAATCGAAGTTTAGTACCTTTAAGTTGTGCCAAATAGTCAGTCCATGTTTGTATAACGTGCCCACAACACTATTAGGGGGGTCGGATGTCTGCGTCTCTGTGTTTTCCTCTGCTGATGGACATTCATCAGGTGGCTTCCTGGCTCTTGATGGTGGTGTAAACCCACAGTCTACTGGGTTTTCCATATGATGAGTGTAGGAAGTAGCCCAGCTTTTGTTCCTTGCTGCATCCATGGGTTCCTGTGTTGCTGGGTGTCCTGTTCGTTTTGGTGTCCCGCCCGCCCACCTGCCCACCTGCCCCCCCGCCCGCCTGCCCACCTGCCCGCCTGCCTGCCTTGCCGTTCAGTGTGTTGTACCTTCACTACTTACTGTGCTGCCTTGCCTTGCTGCTTTGTTCCCTTGCTGCTCACCATGTTGCCTTGCTGCCTTGCTTTCCCAGCGCCTCGCTGCCTTGCTTCCCCAGCGCCTCGCTGCCTCGCTGCCTTGTTGCCTCACTGGCTTGTTGCCCACCTGCCGCGCCATTTTTATTTGGACAACTCTTTTTCTTGTCTCCCAATCGTTTTCTCTATGTTGTTGTCTACTTTTTATGTGGTTCTGGCTTTTCCTATGTTTATTTGAAAGTACCAAAGTCTAGTCCCTTAATTTTGCGCCAAATAGTCGGTGCCTGATTGTATGAAGTGCCTGCGACACTGTTAGGGGGGCAGCCGTGTTCCAAATACCTGTTGCTCTGTGTTTTCAGTTGGTGATAGAGACTCATTGGGTGGCTTCCTGACTCTTGATGGTGGCGTAAGCCAACAGTCTGCTGGGTTTTCCATATGATGTGTGTAAGCGATAGCTCACTTTGTTCCTTACTGGAAGTTACTGCATCCATGGGTTCTTGTGTTGCTACGTGTCTTCTTCTATTGGCGACCCAGTTGCCTGTCCGCCCACCTGTCGCTCCCACCTGCCTTGCCGTTCAGTGCCTTGTTCCTTCACTGCTTACTGCGCTCCCTTGCTGCTTGCTTTGTGCCCTGCCGCCTGGTTCCCTTGCTGCCTTGACGCCTTGCTGCCTGGCCGTCTTGCTGCCTTGCTGCCTTGCTGCCTTGCTGCTTCGTTGACTAACTGCTTCACTCACTCACTGTGTCATTGCCTTGTTTGCGATGACGTTAATGCATTGAAGATGACGATAATGACACAATCGACCTACTGCAACGGCGCCAAAATGTGACGTACGAAACATGAAAAAAGAAAAAGCTAGTAAGATTTGTGAAAAGACGAACAGCCTAGAAAACAAAAAAGAACTACAACGAGACTCAAAAAGCCTAAAACCAAGAGGAAAAAAAAGAACCTAAGCCAACATATCGATCTCATAAAAAAACAGAAAACGAAAAAAAATGTTACTGCGACGGGCGTAGAGACAAATGACCCCCTAAAAGCCTACCGTGATATCAACCTCATAACAACAGGAGAAAAAAAAAACAGACCATGAGCAAAAAAAATACGAAACGGATACAATCTTGGAACCGCAAACGGCAACTAACTACAATCCGACAATCACCATTGTGAGATATTTGCCCCAATTGATGCCTCACACCTGCCGCCTTCGCTCCTGGCTGCAATCTACCGGCTGTCAATCACAAGAATCCAACAACCTCTAACGAAAACTCGACCAGCAATCGATGTGCAGCAGTCAACAAACTGTCCTCCTAGTAAGGTTTATCCTCGTATTGTAGCCCTACCTCCGAGCCTCTTTTTGCCGACCCTGAATTTACCTGCATGCCGATTTTTCCCAAGCCTGGCTTGGGCGTGGTTCCATTTCAGTTTTCTTTTTTTTTTGGTACTCGATATAAAACAGGAAGAAGAAAAAAAAGCAACAAAGAAAAAGAAAAAGAAACGAAGGAAACAAAAAAAACAAAGCTTTGACCGTGACAGCGGTGAGATACATCCCGGGACTGTGGACGATCTGAGGTCCGGATACACCCATGGTCTCCTCAGAGACAGCAAAGCAGGGAGGAGAGGAGGGATCAGCTTATCGCGGATTACTATTGGGTTGAATACCGGCATGTCTCGATAGAGATCCAGGCCGCATTTGTTCAAGACCTAGCGCAAAAATACGACATCGTCGATTTTATTGATCCTCTTCCGACGTATGTTGCCCCGAGCAAAAGTTATCTAATGTTAGGACTGGACCTGCCGGAGGACTGTATCCTTCAGATCGACGACATAGTACAATTCAGAATTGGGGACAAAGATTTCAAAATTCATATGGCCCACAAACGGAGACCGTGGTGCTTCAAATGTCAACAAGACGGCCACGGTGCCACAAAGGCCGACTGCCCTCATTTCCCGGGCCATGAGGGTTGGGTATACATAGACGAAGCCAAAGAAGAGGGAGGGATCAGGGGGTGGGAATGGGAGAGAAAGGAGGCGATTGACCTGGAAAGCGAACCTTCAGACCATTGGACACCCCCACACTCAGTTGAAGAGCACCTGGGGACACAGCACGAACAACGGTACTTCCCCGGCTCAGGCCGGCTATAGGAACCACAACCAGAAGTGCTCCTCAAAGAAACAGAGGTAAGGGAGATATGGCATGTAGCCCCCCCCACAAAATCGGCCCCCTCGTACCGAAAGAAACCTTTGGGGAACATGAGCAAGGAAAATTTGGCCCGGGACACCAACCGTTTTGCAGTGTTGAGGATAGGGTAACAGGGGCAGCCCGCCCAACAAAGGGATGTAGTGGAGGCGGGAGGCACACTACAGGGAGGCACAGTTGGTCATCTGCACCAGGGAGGACAACTGACGAGGGCCATATCGGGACAAGAGAGAGAGACGATGGCAGGACAGGCAGGACAGGCGGAGGAGAGAGATGCCCAACCCACCCATAAAGAGGAGGTGGGGATGCTAGAGGTATCAAGAGTGACCACACAAGAAGGCCGACCAGAAGAAATGCACGCGGAACTAGGCCTGGAGGGAGCAATTTTGCAGACAATACATTTTCAGGCTCCCCCGAGCAGAGGACCCCTTCCAGTAGGCCTTTGGCCCGGAGCCAATCAAAGCGGAAATGCCGATACCTCTGGCAAAAGAGATGACCACGCCACTGCCAAAAGTGATCATGACTGACCCCACACCGGAGACACAAGGGGAGGCATAGGACAACATGAACATCTTAACAGAATGGCGCTATGAGCAACTTAAGGCCCCCTATGCACATTTTACCCACTTGTCCGCTGATTTTTGGGACCAGACGTGTTGATCTGTTCGAACTATTGGACAGAAGCCAGAGTCTCCAACAGGCTCTGGAACATGGGCTGCCCAGCCAGCCAGCTGGCAGGAAACCTGGCACCGGGTCTGGTGCATTGTCCATAGTCAATTCCATTGCCCCCCCCCCCCGGAAATGGAACAGCCCTTACAGAGAGACATTGTCCCGTCACACCCCCCCCTGCGCCTACCTCTTCTCAGAACCCCCCACCTGCATCACCAGCTGAGCCCCCCCCAACACCCTCCCCTGACCCTCCACCTCAGGCTGCACCCCCACCAATGGGCCCAGATGGAGTGGATCCAGAACTGCCCCGTCTCACACGACTGCGGCACCTTATTGAAAAAGGACTTTACCCGGGACCACTCCCCTTGGGGGATAAGGTCTTGGCGGTCCCCATAAGAAAAAAAATGGCCAGTGGGAAGTAGGCCTCTCCCCAGCGGAAGAGAATAATTTCACGCTCTGTCGGGGGCGCTCACGCTACATGGATGGAGGTTGCAGCAGGATGCGGAAGGACAGCGCGGTTTCAGGCTTAAGAATGCGAAGGAATTTATAACAACGCACTACGAGGCGGGGGCAAAAGCCATGATATGAGTGGGATCGCAATCCTGCAGAATCACAGATAACGATTTATATATCCTTTTCGATGAAAAAAAGGAGGCGGATTTGACCTGGGTAGCACACGACGCATTACTAGAACTGCAATATCTCAAAATTAAGTCCATCCACATCTGGCCCGACACGGAAATCATCACCGCCTTGTGCTCTATAGTCCACAAGCATATTATTAACGAAGGGGTGGCATGGGACCATCACACGTGTCACTATCTATAGGACCGATAAAGGGGAAACAATGTTGAGGCAAGTAAAATGGTATGGGTTGAAGCCTTATACAGCCGCAGAAAACAGCAACCCAGCTTCACGGTACCCTCGGCACTGTCATCACACAGAGAGATACCTGGAAACGATCATTGAAGCAATCTCTCTAGCCTGGTACAGGTTGCTCAAACAGGGCCCCACCTTGGAGGAAGGGGACTGGGTTGCTCTATCAGGAGACACGGCACGGATTGGCCAGATCCACATGGTGCGGACATCAGACGTTTTGGTGGAATACTACACAATCGGGCCAAGGGGTAGACTTCATGGTTCTCGCAATCCTTTTGAGTACCGGGAGAAAACCGATGTGTTTCGAGTGCGAGTGCTGCGGGAGGGACAGAACTCCACAGTCTTTCTACCCCAATACACGAGCTGGCTTTTGACCCCCAAGAATGGCAGTGGCAAATGGCCCCGGGGAACAAAACTATTGAGCACATCTTCGTGCAGTGCCCAGTGGCCTTGCTGACGTGGCGGTGGTGGGACCACATCTGGAGAAAAACAGTACCGGACACTCCCTGGCCATGGTCTTGGCAGGCCATACTGACAGGACACTGCCCGGAAATGGAAAGTGCCCCCTCCCACGCGAGCAATATGTATATCTCGGGAAGACAATCTGTTCTCTGGGCATTTTGGTGGCAGCGCTGCATTCTAGTTTTGGAAGGGGTAAGAATCGAGGGCCCGGAACTGACAGGGCAGATAAGGGAGCTAGTGCAATTGGAGCTGATGTGGGGATGGAACGACCTTAAGCTGCAATTAGACATTTTTCAGACAGATCGGGATATCAAGAGGGAAATTATGGGGTTTTGCATGGAGTGGTTAGGTGGGCAACAGGGTGGATGGATTGCTCGAATTGAGTGGACAGGGGATCAGGCCGCTGTGGCAGAACAAAGAATCTTAAGAGATTACATATTCGTTCTCAACGATTGGACCCACATTGACCCATCTGTCCCGATGAGGCCCCCGTCTAATTTCCCGGACCCGTTCCCCCCCCACCCCCTCGCCCTGATGGAAGTTCTTCCCTGACCATGCTGCAAGATTGCGATCAAGTTTGGATCTGACGAGACTGACGAGATTGAGATAAGCCCCCCCGGTGCCCCCCGGGTGAGGCTTGTCAAACGATCTCCTTTCCTTCCAAAATCCTCGTTTCTCTCAAATACGACTTCCAAAGAGGAGGAAGCCCTCCACAAGCTCACCACCACCTGCTCAGTCAATCCCCTGGTAATCAGGGCAATCAATGCTGGCAGGGTGATACTTAAGACTATTCTGACAAAAAGTGCTCTGATGGTTGCTCAGGCGGGTGATGAAAAATGGGACGATGGACCCGGTTTCCAGCAGGTGCGGCTCCCCACCAATAGAGTGGACCATCCAGGATGACCGCTAGGGGGGGCGCTCGTACCACCCTCCCTTGTGGCAAGACTGGCTTAAAAAAAAAAAAGAGATACATCCTCGGAGGCACTAGTGTGAGTATGCCCTCACGGAAGGCGCTCCCTGTCTGAACGTGGAAGACACACTGCCTCACCGGCAGGGCACAAAGGAAAAAAAAGAAAAGAAGGGATAAAAAAAACGAACAACAAAGGTTTTGCCGTTATAGTCGTTAGATACATTCTGGAAAGTACTAGTGCAAGTATGGCCTCAGTGAGGCCATTCCCCAACATCAGTGATCCCCGAAAAATGTGGTATAGGCTATACCACTTTTCCTCAACATTGTGAAAGGTAGTGGAGCGAGGCCCTTAGCAGTAGTTTGTGGAGACCAAGAGCCCTTATCAGTAGGTAATGGAGCGAGGCCCTTAGCAGTATAGACCAAGGAACAAACGCAGTTCAGTGAGTAGTGGAGCGAGGCCCTTAGCAGTAGTTTGTGGACACAAAGAGCCCTTATCGAAAATTCACAGGAAGCAGAGAGCAGCAGGAACCCTCATTGTGACTGTATCTGACCTGAATCTTCACATGCGAGGACACAATGAATCCTCTTGTGTTATTGTTTACTTTTTTTCACATTTGATACGTCTCGCCAACACAGAGAGTCCTCATCGTGGTTCATGGGAAATACAGTTTTCGAGAGCACACACAGCTCATCATGTAAGTTGAGGTTTGTGCACGCCGGGGCCGCCCGGCGGAAGCCGGCCCAGCCAATTTTTGCTGCTGCTTTTTTTTTGTGTGTGTGTGATATGTATGTGCTTTAGGGTATATATCGTCAAATAGAACTGCCCGGTAAACCGTAGGCAGAGAGGGAGAAGAGGACAACAAACGAGGGGCTGTGACAAACTGTTTCGTCGGAGTTTCACCGACTCATCATCGTATCTATATATATTATATATACAGATATATATAGATATATATAGATATATATAGATATATATAGATATATTCAGTTTCAACGTATTTGGACCAGTAACGAAAAAGTTGGCAAAAACACCGAATTCGGAGAAAATTTCGGCGAACTCCGAAAGCTACTCCGAATACGGTTTATAGTGCTTTTGAGTTGTTGTTTTTTTCCATTTTTTTGGCCTGTTTGTTTTTTGATGTTTGTGTTAAGAGCCTGCATTCTTTGTTCGCGATTTTTTTTTTCCCGCTCAGAAAAGTCACAAAGTGACACAAGCATTATTCTGGAACCTCATGTTTTTCATGCTTTTTGAAATTTTGATATTTTGGTGTACTGCATGTTTTCAGTGCACTCATAGCACACTGCGAACCACAGGTGCACGGTAGTTCCCGCATAACAACTTATAACTTGCTGGTGGAAAATTACCTGGACAAAAAGATTCTTAGAAAAGAAATTTCTTTCTTCTGAAAGAAAAAAGAAACAGAAAAAAGAGGAAGCCAGAGTATCCTCTGCTTCTATTAGCCTTCATATATATTACCGGGCAGCTCTGTTTGATGATATATGTATATATATATAAACAGAAACTCCAATCTATTCGTGGGGAGCAGCACATGCATAGCTGATATCTGAAGGCAAGCTCAGGAGAAGAGAGAAATATAAGGGATGTTCTGCATGGATGAGGCATCAGTGACTCACTTGCTGGAAAAGTTCCATAGCTTGCAACAGCACGGCATTATCTGCTACCAGCCTCTTGTTCTTCTGCAACAGTTTCTCTGTTTGGCGGGACTGGTACGCAAGCTCGCAGCTCATCTGCTCATTCTCCATGATTGTCCGTTTTGTGGTCTGTATCGTCATCAGTAGCAGCACCACCACCACCACCACCAATACCTCATAGTGGTCGTCATCGTCATCATCATCATCATCATCAACCACATTTCATGCAGAAGATTCCATTTACAGCCCGGCACATATGCATGGCTACCATTTCTTTTCCCCACAAGAAAACAACTTTATTGCTTTTGGGAGTTTCGAAGTCGCAAACCTCGCAGAAACCCTGGGCATAGAGCCCAGTGCTCAGGGCAACATTGAACCCACTACCCAAGCCCTGGATAGCACATGACTTCCTGAACCTTGCTGCTCGCCATCCCAAGCCCATTGCCCTAAGCGTGCAGAAATGGCAGCTTATCATCCTGAGAATGTACCTTCCCATAATCAGTTTTAAGAATAGGAGCTTCGAGGATGCATCTTGTGGAATACAGATATTGGAGATCAGCACGTTGAAGGTGGGTTACCAGAAAAGTGGCTTCTTTCTGCTAGCCAGAGTTGTGACTCTTCTCCCTCTCTGCCTACCATTTACCGGGCAGGTCTGTTTGACTATATAGCGTTGCCACTTGTACACACCCTCGTACGAGTACGGATTATTTGTACTCCTGTACTCGTACGCTAGGGGCCCCGTACGACTTTTTTTTTTTTTTTTAATCCGATATTGTTTTTTTTTCTTTCCCCTCAAAGTCTAGTAAGAATCCATAGATGATGCTCAGCCAAATGTTGCTTGTTTTGTGTTGTTGCATCACTTTTTTTTTTCAGTTTTTTTTCGTACGGGGGCATACAAGACGTACAGTGTGGGCCATGGCCGCAGAAATAAGACATGTTGAAGGCAACCTGACACGGACCACTCGCATAAACTGAGACAGACTTAAAAAAAAAAAAAATTAGAAAAAATCACAAGGTAATAAAGAATAGCCTAAAACTGGCTACGAAGTCAGAGTTTAATTGACGAATAGCTTAGCGTCTGCGGTGTGGGCAGTGCGGGCTACGCCCGCAACCAAAACTACCGAAACGGTAAAGAAAGTACCATAGAGTAGAGGAGAGTGTCGTATAGTGTCGCAGAGTGTCGTAGAATGTCGTAGAGTGTCGTAGAGTGTCGTAGAGTGTCGTAGAGTGTCGTACAGTAAAGTAGAGTGTCGTACAATAGAGTAGAGTAGAGTAGAGTAGAGTACAGTAGGGTGTCATATAGTAGAGTACAGTAGAGTGGCATAGAATGTCATAGAGTGTCGTAAAGTAGATTACATTAGAGTGTCGTTGAGTAGATTATCGTAGAGTAAAGTAGAGTAGAGTAGAATAGAGTAAAGTAGAGTAAGAGTAAAGTAGAGTATAGTGTCATAAAGTGGAGTGTGGTAGAGTATCCTCGAGTAGATTACAGTAGAGTGGCATAGAGTGTTGTCGAGTAGATTACAATAGAGTGTCGTAGAGGAGAGTAAAGTGTCGTAGAGTAGAGTAAAGTACCGTAGAGTTGATTGTCGTACAGTACAATAGCGTAAAGTAAAGTAGAGTATCGTAGAGTAGATTGTCGTATAGTAGAGTAGAGAAGAGTAGAGTAGAGTGTCGCGGAGTAGAGTGTTATAGAGTAGAGTAAAGTGTCGCAGAGTAGAGTAGAGTGTCAAAGAGTACAGTAGAGTAGAGTAAAGTCTCATAGAGTGTTGTAAAGTGTTGTATAGTAGAGTAGAGTGGAGCAGAGTGGAGTAGAATACAGTGTCGTAGAGTAAAGTAGAGCGTCCTAGAGTGTCGTATAGTAGAGTAAAGTGTCCTAGAGTGTCGTAGAGTAGAGTCCAGTGTCCTACAGTAGAGTAGAGTGTCCTAAAGTAGAGTGTTGTAGAGTAGAGTAGAGTGTTGTAGAGTGTCGTAGAGTAAAGCAGAGTAGAGTAGAGTAGAGAAGAGTGTCCTACAGTAGAGTAGAGTACAGTGGAGCAGAGTAGAGTACAGTACAGTAAAGTACGGTAGAGTAGAGTAAAGTACAGTATCATAGAGTAGAGTAGACTATCATAGAGTACAGTAGAGTGTCGTAGAGCGTCGTAAAGTAGAGTAGAGTACAATAGAGTGTCATAAAGGAGAGTAGAGTGTCGTAGAGTAGAGTATCGTAGAGTAGATTGTAGTAGAGTAGAGTAGAGTAGAGTAGAGTAGAGTAGAGTAGAGTAGAGTAGATTGTAGTAGAGTAGAGCAGAGTAGAGTAGAGTAGAGTAGTGTTATGATCCCGGCCAATTTCGAGATACACATTCATCAGATAGTATAATGTCGTTCAATTGCAGAAAGAAATGAATGAACTTGAGAGGAGAGAGAGGGTAAGAAGAAGAAGAAGAAGAAAGAAAGAAGAAGAAGATGATGTACACCAGCATAGACAAATGACAAAGCTCTGCTTCTCCGTTCAACACTCTCCTCCTCCTTTACTCTTCCTCTCTTATTCACACAAGAAATAATAGTACAATGTTAAATGGTTGATCCATAATCAATGTCCGAGTTCCTCTTCTACTGCAGGTATCACTTGAGGTCCACCATAGCCATGGCCGCCTCCCTCACTCTTCACTCTCATAGGTTGAGGCTATGGCGGACTATCGGGCCTTGCCCTGATGCCCGAAGGACAACCCAAAGCAACTATGGCTGCTCTAGCTCAGGCCGCCATGCCTGACTCTGCCTCGAAGCTTCTTGGTGTAGCTCTACCCCAGTTGGGGTCTCCCTGCTGCAGCGCCCACCAAGGTGATGAAGATGGCTGCCACCATAGCCAGGTAAGTACCTCTGGCGCTCCCCCTTCCTCCAAGCCTTCTTCCTCCTCTGTGTCCTTGCTCCTTCCCCAGCAGGACTGCTCCAAGCTAGCGTTGCTCCAGCCAGCGCTCCAACCAGTGTGTCGCCAAACTTGCACACAGACAATGAGGCTGGGGTCTTCGCCCCACCTGGAGATATAGCTGCCTGCTTGCCTCTTGGGCGGTGACTTCCAGGCCGCTCGGCCTTCCCAGCAACCGGTGCCTCCTCCCTTTCGGAGGGAAACATCATTGCAGACTCTGATATTGCCCGTATAGGCCCTAAACTCGGACTGGTTGGATTGGTACCCGCGTAGACCTAGCCTACAACTACTGGGCCTCTCAAAATGCCACTTTTGTCTTCTTCTGCTCGGCCTCTAGTACCCACACATCTACCTCTTCAGGGTGCGGTACCGGCCTACCTGCTACTTGAGTGTTTTCCCCCACTGCAATCCCTCAATGTCACGGCCACAAGTAAGTACCGGCCCTGAGGGCCCAACGAACGGATAAGTACCCTTGCGGGTGACACACACACTCAAGCCAACCAGCACTCAGACAGACATGCAGACCAGCAAGCGTGCACACACAGACATGCAAAACTTAGAAGCAAACGGGAAACTCAGCAAGGCATTCAGCCCGTGAGCAAAACTCGGAAATCAACTGTGTGTCTCAGTCCGTGTTTGGTCGGGTCATCACAGTAGAGAAGAGTAGAGTAGAGTAGAGTTGAGTGTCATAGAGTTGAGTAGAATGTCGTAAATTGTCGTCGAGTAGATTACAGTAGATTGTCGGAGAGGAGAGGAGAATGTCGTAGAGGAGAGTAGAGTGTCGTAGAGTAGAGTATCATAGAGTACATTGTCTTAGAGTAGAGTAGAGTACAGTAGAGTCGAGTATAGTAGTGCGAGGCATAAGGCCCCGATGAGCCCCCTTTTCCCCCTGTAAGCAGCACAGTCGGGCGCCCTAAGTGAAGGCAGGCCCGACTAAGGCCAAGAGGCCTATTTCTCGGGTACCACGCAACTGGGAAATTCAGGCAGTTGCGCAGCGCCAGTTGGTTGAGAGCGCCCAGGCCCTGGCTGCCTCTTTCGTACCTAACTGAGGCAGGCCCTGGGCCAGATACACAACAAGGGCCGAACGCAGGCTGTAGGCAGTTGGGCACAGGCAACCGCAACAGGCCCTGGGCCTGAGTCGTTTGGACCGGGGCTCAGCCTACCGGAAGCTTCTGGGCAGAGGCCCAGCGCAGGCAGGCCACACGCAGCAGGCAGGCCACTTCTATTTAGGAAAGTGCCTGCCCTCGCATTTGGCATTTGGGCACTGGCTGCATGCTGCGCTAAGACCTGGCTAGCGCTCACGCGCTCACAGGCGAGCTAGATGAGCAGGCAGCCATAGCGGAGCTGCGCTGCACTATGCTGGATGGGGCGCATGGTGGTCCTTGGGTGCACGTGGCATCTGTGAGTGGGGGATCAAGGTTGTGAGTGATACGAGAGATATACCTGGTGCTTGATGTGAACGACATTGGCCGAGATCTGCTCGTACTTTGGGGAGTTGGTGCCGTCACCAGCGGCATTGTAGATAGGCTAGATAGGATCTGCCATTTGTAGTTTGGGCGCAGAGCGCCAGATAGGATGTCGACATTGGTTCATTGTTGATAATGATGAGACTATTCCAACATTGTCACTTTTGAGCTTTTGCTGTGCTTTTTGTTTGGTGGAACTCGTGTTGCAATTATGCTTTTGGTTCGAGGTCACAACTATTTTGTTTCATGTGTATGATGCTGCTTGGTTTTTGAAGTTCGATATTGCTCATTTTCCTTACAGTAGAGTAGAGTGGAATAAAGTATCGTAGAGTGGAGTAATTTAGAGTAGACTGTCATAGAGTAGAGTGTAGTAGATGCGAGTGTCGTAGAGTAGTGCCATAGAGTAGAGTGTCGTAGAGTGTCGTAGAGTAAAGTAGAGTAAAGTAGAGTAAAGTAGAGTAAAGTAGAGAAGAGTAGAGTGTCGTACAATGTCGTAGAGTAGCGTAGAGTGTCATAGACTATCGTAGAGTATCGTAGAATAGAGTGTTGTAGAGTAGAGTGTCATAGAGTAGAGTGTCATAAAGTAGAGCGTCGTAGAGTAGAGTAGAGTGTCGTAGTGTAGAGTATAGTAGAATGTCGTAGAGTAGAATATAGAAGAGTAGAGTAGAGTAGAGTAGAGTAGAGTAGAGTAGAGTAGAGTAGAGTAGAGTAGAGTAGGGTAAAGTATAGTAGAACTAGATGACCCGTTGCAGCTTCGCCCG